AATATGGATTGTTGCGTTACTTGTCTGACGATCATAACATCTTTAACGTTTATATTAAAAAAAACTAATACTAAAATTAAAATTCTTGTATTTTAATTTAATCTAAAGCTGTAATAACTTTATAGTGTGATATTACTATTATTAAAAAATTTATACATATAAATTATGATGGCCTTTGATACACTTTGTGAATAACGAAATAATTATAAAAATAGGCAGAATATCAAGAGTGATATTTGAATGATTTTTATTATATGTATTTAAGTAATTTATGATTTATTTTTTGTACATTTCTATTTATTTTTTTTAAATACAAATTTATTTTGTAATTATAAGAGAAATTTTAACGGATTTTCTGCGCAAAAATAAATTCCGACACATTCAGTTTAAGCGGTTGGTTAAATTTATTCTTAGAATATTTGCTATGCGCCTTGGTCTTTCCGCAGTTAGCATGAAAAGATAATCAGGGAAATGTTTCGCATCTGCATTATTATACAACATAATGTTGCGTTTATAATGCAACTAAAGCAAGATACGAAAACGAGAAAAGGATAAAGAATAAGACAATAAAAAAGGAAAGAACTACAAGAAAAAGCGAAGTGAGATTCACTTGTAGCATCTCGCTGCCACTTAATGTAAGTAGTATAATTAGAAACAAGTCAAGCATTGACTTGTGCATTAGAGGTCTTCGTGTATTTTCGAATATGTTACAGATTGTACACTATTATAAGAAATATTAAAGGAACAATAGTAACCCAATCCCTTAAGTTAAATGCAAATAGATGAAGAAGACTATATTGGTCAAAGCTGATATCTAATAATATTTTTGTATATCTAATAAAATTTTATAATTTTAACTTTAAGCAAATTGAGCGCCAATTATCTATTGATTTTGAAACACAGTTATAAACTAAAGTTGGAATACATAATATTCCAAATTAAATTATGCAACAAGCAATTTAACCCTTTGAAGACTGCACCTTTCTAACATATGAAAGATCATGTTGTTTTTTAAAGATCGTGGTCGTTGAATTTGATTTTAATTTTAGAATTTAAAAATTTAAATTTCAAATAATCTGATTATAAATAATCTGATTATTGTGAAACTCCGTTTTATGAGATTTTTGATATTTTTTTTTGAGTTTGAATGTGCAATCTGAAAAAATTAAATTCCAAAAGGTAATAACTATATAAGGCGGTTTTTGTTAGAATTCATAATCAGAATTTGTGAAAGTCAATTTGGAAATCAGTACTAACTGTTTATATAGCATTGATGAACTTCAAATACTAATTCAACCTGTAATGATATTAATCTTTGGGTTAAATAATATTTTGTTATTTTTAACTTTTATGTGTCAAAATGTAAATCAATCCATTTTTGTGATTGTAGTTTCAAAATAAGCAATATAGAAATATGCAAGAAATATAATAAATTAAATTTTAGTCAAATTTAGTATACATTTTCTGAAATTTTAATCTGATTAAATTATCTTATTGTTTTAATTAAATTAAAAGTATAGAATAAGAGCAGTGACAAGAAATTATTAAAAATAGCTCAAATTGAGTAAATTTGGCATTATATAAATTGAATAGTGTAACATCGAAAATCTCTCATTTTTTCTCATATTATTAAAAGAAGATTCTCAGGTGCGACTGAATCGCGAAACAAAAAAAAGTTTTATGATTGCCAATACGAAAGTATTTTCCTAATGATATGTGAGTTTTGCATTATCGTAGGTGATATTTCTTTGCGCTATGTTAGATATAAGTATTTAGAATGTCATTTACGATCGTTTGTGTGAAAGGATGTGAGATCCAAATCTGATAAATATTATCGGATAATCGAAATGACGCCAGCAAGAAGCATCTTGTAAATGTATTTTCGTATATGCAAATCAATGTATTAATGATAACTTCGGTGGACTTCAGTCCATCTGATGAAATTATCGATTTGTCATCTTCATAAAACAATATATGTATCAGATATCTATACTGCTAGGTATTTACACTACTGCACAAAATTGAATAGAAAAAGTTTGCTGCTATAGAAGAATCAACTGCAAGTTCTCATCATAATTCTCATCGTAAAATTAGCTCTCTGTAAATATATATTTTTTTTCGTATGCATCGAGTGTCGCGTCAGAACAGTCTGAATATAAAACGTGCGATGAATGATGGAATGTTCTCTGCTGAGAAAACAAGTCTTCCGCAAATGAAATATTCAAATTAGAATTATTGGGCGACGTTGTCCTAAAATATCCACCGAAGAAAATGTTACGGTCGAAACTTGAACGGAGTTACGAGGCTAATAAATCTTTTTATTGTGTTCATCTATTTTATCTGAAAATCGAGTTGAAACTGTTGCTTTGATAAAAAAATATTATTTATTGAGGAACAACTAAATGTATCATTCATCAAAATATTAGATTAATTTGATTATAATTTTGTTATCAAAATGAATAACTATTATTTACAATACTGTCATCTAGTTTTGCGATTATCCGATCTAATTATCTGATGATGCTTAATATTAAAAATTAAGATAAAAATTTTTAAATGAGCGGTTATTATTAACCATTTTTATTTTTTATATTAATTATATTTCTTACATAGAAAATAAGAATAAACAATTTCTTTAATTGTATCAATAATTATAAAGTACACTATTATTTTTGTAATTTTTCGCCTAATATAAAAATTTTTATATAATTAGAGATAAAAGTACTAATTTAAAAAAAAACGCATAATTTTACATATTTCTACTATAAATTGTGTAATTTTTACACATATTATTTATGTATTTTTGCATACCTTTTTATAGGTTAGAGTAGCTCACTGTCACTATATTGTAGTAAGTCTTCTCTATCCTGTATCATCCTATAAATTTCGCAATTGTAGAAAATGATAGATATAGTCTCATGGAATCTCAGTATACTGCTAATTTTCAATATATAGTTATTTACGTTGCTTACACTTCAATTTAGTTCACAGTCGCATTAAAAAATTCTCTAATCTCTTCCGGAATTTTAAACAAAAATATTTGGAAAAATCTGGGAATTCTTGGAATTTTTTAATTATATATGCATCTTACAGTATACATATATTTTTATAAAATTTTAATAAACATCCAAACATGTTTGGAGAATCATCATTACCTAAATATCGTATTCGATTTGTCCGCGGTTTGTTTTTGGTTCGATCCTAACGTCGGGTTCAAGATTTGTCGCGTGCAATATTCGAGCTGATAATATCATCCGTCGAAGCATGACAATGACAGGCGTCGATTATGCACGATGCGCATAAGCCGCTCACGATTGTCGATCCGCCACCGCGTATTCCATTTGTACTCGTGCTTGACAGCCAAAGTTCACACGTACTCTCACCTCACGTACGTAAGGAACCTGATTTCACGTGACGACAGCGCATCAATTCTCGCCGGTCATAACACGCGAGCGCGATGGCAGATTTCGATACTTGTAAAATGGTTTTCTTCACGCTACAGAGGTCCAGGGATTTTCCTATGACGTTTTCAGATATAAGTCATTTATCTCGAACGGGAGCTCAATTTGGATGTAAATTCGCCGAGATCGAAATATCTCATTAATTTATATTCGCATCTCGTTCAGTTTCTTTGATGATGTTTCTTTGTAAATCCCAGAATTATTGCACAAAATTGCCAAACATCCTGCAGATTGTGCGGAGATTGATATTTAATCGCGCAGTTACGAGAACGTGCGATCCTATTAAGGTGTATACTATACAGTCGCGGTCAATAATTCCTATTTGCTTGGATTTAACCGCGTTTTAAATAAATATACCTAACTTCAAGCATCACGCATCATATCTGTGGATATTATAACTCGTAAATTCGAATGTAATTGTACTCAACAATCACGGCGTATGTACAAATATTTACTATTAGATACGATGCGTTTGCCTGAAATGCAGTTAACATCAAGCGAAAAGGCATTATTGACCGCGAGTGTACAATCAGCGAGTATGTGTGCTGTGTTGCACGTCGTACACACGGATAAACATGTGGCGCGTCAGATATTATAGACATGAGTCGGTTAGTCTGTAACGGCCAATGGATCATGAACGCTGAAACGGAGTACATGCCTATAAATATATCACTCGTGGAACTGAGAAGAGAAACGCCGATGAGAAACATCGAGATTGACAATAGAAAGGGAGAGAGGGAGAAATTAAAAGAGAAACAGAGAGAGAGAGAGAGAGAGAGAGAGAGAGAGAGAGAGAGAGAGAGAGAGAGAG